ATTTGCCCGGCAGGGCGGTACGGAACAGTGTGTCGGTCTTGTATGCCCCAATGCTCAAGGAGGCCCTTCCACAACCTGCTTACAAACGGCTTTCCATTATCACTTGAAATGGAGACAGGTGTGCCATGTCTGGAAAAAACCTGGATCATGCAGGCCACCACACTCTTGCTGTTTGCTGCCCGCAATGGAAAAAGTTCAATGAACTTGGTGAACTTGTCAATCACCACGAGAAGGTACTTGTGGCGTCGAGGCGTCATAGGCAAGGGCACAATTATGTCCACGCTGAGCTGTTCCATAGGGGCAGTGGCCCATTGACTGCTCATCAGCCCTTCTGGCTTCTGCCGGTGGGCTTTGGTGCGCTGACAAACCTGGCAGCATCGCACATACTTGGATATGTCCGAGCGCATACCCAGCCACACGAAATTCTGAGAAACGCGTTTGAGGGTCTTAAAAAAGCCGGAGTGGCCGCTAATCGGGTGATCATGGGACAGTCGCAGGACCAAGTTGCAGAGATGGTTTGGTAGCCAAGGTACTTTCCTGTTCCCTCGGTGCTGTACAAGCAACCCACTCTCTTCCATCTCGGTCGTCTCCGCCAGGTCTTTTATCAAAGGATGATCACTGTCAGTGGGCGGAAGCTTCCCTCCCTTCATCACAGTTCGTAGTTTTGACAGTATGGGGTCCTGCTCTTGTTCCTGGGCGAGGAGCCCTGCATCATTCAAGACAGTAGTGTCGTCCACTTTAGATGCTACAGCAGCTGCCTCAAAGCTGATTTGTGGGCTGGGCTCTGGAACAGCCATAGGGAACAGCGTCTCGTGTAGACTCGGGCTTGGAACTTCCTGGTGCTGAAGGGGAGCTCTGCTCAAGGCGTCGGCTGGCACATTTGCAAGACCCCGCCTGTGCTTGATTCTGCAGTTGAAACCTTGCAGCCGCAAAACCCAACGCTTTACACGTGGTGAGGCCTGGTCTGTGGTGAACATCCAGGATAGTGAGGAGTGATCACAGTGTACCTCAAACTCGGTGAACTCAAGGTATGGTCGGAACTTGTCCACTGCCCACACCACAGCCAGACACTCCCATTCTTGCAATGTATAGCGCTGCTCTGCCTCAGTGAGGACCCTGCTAATGAAGCTTATTGGACGCAGTTGAGCATCACTCTCGGCTGCCTGCAGAAGCACCGCTGCAATGCCGACTCCACTGGCGTCTGTTTCCACCACGAATGGTCTGTTGAGGTCCGGCAAGTTTACAACAACATCGTCGGCCAGGGACTGCTTAAGTGCTCTAAAGGCTTCCTCTTGCTGCAGCTCCCACCGCCAACGTTGCTTTTTCTTAAGGAGTTCTGTGAGTGGACGTGCAGTGATAGAAAACTGAGGTATGAACCCTCTGTAATAGCCTGCTAGTCCCAGGAAGGCCTGCAGCTGTTTGAGTGTTGTTGGTTGAGGATAGTCCAGCACCGCTCGCACTTTTTCCTTGTCCGGCCTACACTGCCCGGGCGATATTTCATGGCCAAGGAACTTAAGGTATTGACAGCACACGTGCACCTTCTCTGGGTTAATGGTCAGCTGTGGCGAACTTATCCGCTTCAACACCTCCCGAACATGCTCAAGATGATCCTCTAGGGTCTCCGAATACACCAGGACATCATCGAGAAACGCCATGGCAAACTGGTGATTAATTCCCTCCAGTAGTCGGTCCATCAGGGTCTGAAACGTGGCAGGACCTCCGGCAACTCCAAAGGGCATTCTCATGAACTCGAAGGTTCCCCGATGGCAAATGAATGCTGTCTTTGGAATATCCTGCTCTTGAACAGGGATTTGAAAAAAACCCTGTGAAAGATCAAAACTTGAGAACCACCTGGCTCGTCCCAGCTGTGCCAGCAACCAATCAGTCCTCGGCATGGGGTAGACTGGCACCTTAGTGCGTGCATTTAGCTGGCGGTAATCCACAGCCATGCGGTAGCCACCAGACTTCTTCTCAACCAGGACTGGAGCACTGGCATGCTGACTTTGGCTAGGGCGGATGAGGTTCTGTGCCAGCAGGTCTTGAATGCAGTTGTCCATGATGGCCTGCTTCTTGGAATTCACTGGTCGCAGTTTGCATCGAACAGGTGGGTTGTCTCCCGTGTCTATGCGATGCTCTGCCAGGGTTGTGCAGCCCGGAGTTGTGGAGAAGATTTCGCTGAACTCTTCTAAAATGTTTTTCATGCGTGGGTCTAGGTCCGACGAGTGGCCGGAAATTATCACATTGCAGGCTGCAGTCGCCTCCGGCACACTGGCACACACAGTGGCATCGCTCTCAGCAAAAATGCAGCGCAGACTGTCTCCAAAATCGTCCACTGCCTCTGGCTGTTCCTTAACGGCCTTGACAAACGGCACAATTCTTTGTGGTTCTGTGCCGACAGTCCACCCACCAAGTGACACGTGCAGAGAGATGCCACTCACCGTCAGGAAATCCCTACCAAGGACAACGTCACGGCACAGGTCAGGAACGCACAAAAACTGCTGTCTGCGGCAACCGGCAGCCCACTCGATCTGGCACTTCAGAGACATGGTTGACTGCGACCAGCCTGATGCCAAACGCAGCACGCGTACGTCTGCCTTGGGTTTGGCTCCAGAAGCTTGGGCCGCCGCCGCGGCGTGCGGTCCGAAGAAGCTTACACTTGAGCCTGTATCTAGCAGGGCCTTGAACGTCGACGACCCGATACGGACGTCCATAAGGGGCTCTTTGCCACCGGCTGTGGTCGCTACTTGGTGCGTACTGCCGTAGGTGCCCGCCGGGGCAGCACCTACCGCCACTGGTTTCCCGGGCACTGTGCTTGCAGGTGACCCGATCGCTGGCACCGGAAGCAAACGGGTGGCCCCATTCGTCGACCCGTGGCACAGTTACGAGATATGTGGCCGAATCCACCACAGCGATGGCACTGCACACGCATTGCTCCACTCGCGGGCTCCTGCCGCGGCATCGGTCCTGGCCCGTAGGGTGAGAACGGAGGCGCTGTGTCGCACGAGTACTGCCGGTCCCGGCAGTACGACGGGTCTAGCGCAGCTGGATGCAGTGGCCAGTGATAAGTCGGCGGTGCCGGTGGGGCAGCAGCAAACGAAGCGAACGACGCCGTCGCCATAGTGTTCGGCTGCGGCAGTGAGCGATGGTCGGGGGCCTGGCTAGGGCGGAACGCCAGATCTCTGGCTACTTGGTTGCTCGGAAGTGGCGGTGGTCTGTACTGGAGGCGACGCCAAGCCCGCTCCATTAGGCCGTCGGCTGCCTTCGCCAACTCGGCGAGGTCGTTGTAGGCATGCCCCTCCGCCAAATCTTGCAACTGAGGGTGCATCTGCCTCAGTACGCGCTGCACCTTCTCGGCTTCGGAGACCTCTTCCCCGATGCGGTCGTAAAAAGTAGCGATCGCATATATAAACTCTTTCAAATTTTCTTCCGGGTGCTGCGTGCGCTGTTCGAGCTCCGCCTTCAGGCGACGCTTCGCGTCAATCGACGAGAACTCGGAGCGGAAGGCGGCGGTGAATTGCTCCCACGAGTCGAACCCGCGCACGAACCGCCACCACAACTTCGCGCCACCCTCGAGGGCAGCCGGTACCACGTGTGTCAGTCGCTTATCGGCGGCGACCCCCGTCACGAGGCAGAAGTTTTCCAAACGTTCGAGAAACTCCTCCGGCGACTGCAAGTCTCTAGCACCGGAGTAGCGGGGGAGGTGCGCAGCGGCGAGCCGAGGCGCAGAGTCGTCGGTGGCCCGAGGGGCCGCGCCAGTGTTAGCGGCCCCAGTCCATGCTCCCACGTGCGGAGCCGTGGGCAGCGGCGTCGCCATCACTCGATCGCGCACGACCGCCGCGATTCGTTCGCGCTCCATGGCGGAGCCGTCGGTGCCCAGCAACAGCTCTTCAACGAGACCTTGGAGCCTAGGCATGTCGTCCGCTGCTGTTGTCGGGCCTGAAGCCATCCCGGACGAGTCCCCACTTGTCACGCGCTAACCCTAACTCGCACACCACACACTACGTCTTGCCACTCCTTCCAACCAGCCCGAACTCCTCCTTCCCCACACACGCAACCCCCACCACTCCAGTCCCAATGATGATGATGACGCCGTCACGTAGTGCCCTCTTTCGGCCAAGTCCCGATGATGATGACGCCGTCACGTAACGCCCTCTCTCGGCCACCCTCACAACTGTACCCCCGCGGTGGTAGCGTGAGGCCATCATGCTCGAGAATATCAATGTATTGTGCTTGCACACTATAGTGCATCAAATAAACTAAGAAACGAAAGGCAGTTTTGGGACGTTAAACCCCACAAATCAATCAATCAAGAAACGAAAGGCATGTTAGTGTATACTATTAGCGTCTTTCGTTCCGTGGTGCTGTGTTTCGAGCCCCATTGTAAACGTGCCACCATGACGGACGGAACGAAGATATCGTAATGCATCTAGCTTTCTGGCCATGTACAGTACAAAATTATTTGTGCTTAAAGAAATACTGACAAGATACACAAAGAGAGGAAATTGCTCCCTTGGTTTATGAATTAAACCAACTCGCGTATTTCTCGATGCCATCTTTCTAGTCTGTCTTGACGACTGTCTCGTGCGCCCAGCCTGCCGTCCAACTACGAGCACCATTATCACTTTACCAGCACGGCCACCATGGCTGACGAAAAGAATATGATTAAGGTGATCATGCGCATAGGTTTCTGGCCGTGCATGAAACGCATACCTCGATGATTGGACGCACCAAGCGCATAAGAATGCATCGATTTTATCATGCTCCGTGTACCATTGCCACTATATATATATACGCTAGTGAGCGAAGAGTTTTCTCTTAGTTCACTGATGGTAAAGAGTGGCGGTCGTTCGCCGCTACCAGGGTTACAAAAGTACAACGAAAAGAGACGTACTGCTAGAGAGTCGCGTGACGCCATTGTAGCCCCCGATGATGTACAACATGTCCTTGTGAGCGACCACCTTAGCGCCGTTTCGTGGAGAGGACATAGTGGCAATGCGGGTTCAGACGTTGTTTGATGGGTCGTAAGATTCGACGCTGTCCAGAACCGTCGCACCCGTAAAGCCGCCAGCGCTGCGATAGGATCATACGGCAGCAGGGGGCGTGAGAATCTGTTTAATCCTTACCACATCCCACATCTCCAACTTGCCAAGGGAGTAATGAGTCTTCCACAAGTACAAGAATTTAGGCTACGTCAGAGGACGCCCACTGTTACACAGCCACCTTTCCGATGACAGTTTTAGATTCGAGAGAAGACGTGACAATGAAATACTGGCAGGGTGCAACGCCCCCCTTTTGCTAGTGCTTAAAATCGAGGCATTATTGACGACAATGGAATGGTCAAGCCGAGGTCACGATCACGAATTTCACAAGGACACTGGCACGAATATACCTGCATCTTGGTCTGCCTCTTTCTCGGTGAGAGATTAGGCGTGTGGCATTATGCTGCTTTGGGCTAGAGTTTCCTGTAGTACAGGTACTCCTTGCTAGCTGCTACATTACGAACTGCGGGCCAGAACGCACATACCCAGCATCATACGTTCTGAAGACGTTTGTGCTTATCTTGTGCCACCTGGAGTGCTAATGCGCAACCAGAAATGGCCAGTGGCACCGTCGATAACCTTAAACACGTAGAAGCGAAGCTTGCGTCATGACAGCACATCCCTGGTAGCTTATGAAGGTTTCTTGCATGAGCATTTCGTTGTGACTGCAATACGGAAACGCGAAGGCCCGATGTCAACTCACACGTAGATGCGGCCGTGAGCTGCTGCGGCGCTGGCATCGCTTCGGACTTTGGTCATGTCCGCCACTAGGGACCACTGGTTCGCCTTGGTGTCATAGCGCTCTACGGTCCTGGTACGAGCATGCCCATCAAAACCGTCCATGTCGTAGATAAATCCCTGCAAGACAACCAGATGACAAGTACCCCTGTATATCAGTAGCTTAGCTGTCTGTCATTACAACTTTCCAATACACCTCTAGAAATATTCCGACCACCCAATAGCCCAGTGAGGTACATAAATGCATTGCGCGGCTACAAATACTCTTTAAAGCGATTATTGCGACGGTCGGCATGACAAAACGTGGGTGAAAGATATACAGGTGCTGACCTTGGTCGTTGTATAGGAGAAATGGTCGGCCAAACTGAGGCATATTTAGAAACGCATTGAGTCAACAACAACTCGTTGTGCCCTTATTTTTTTTTTCTTCACACATGCCTATAGCATTTTGTCTCCACCAAAGTGCGACCGCCATGGCTATAACGTTTGCTCCAGCATGGCGGCGACAGTTATCCGCTCGATCCGTACACAACACACAGCGTGTTAGCGGTTACCGACACCGGTGCTGCCGGGCTATTTATGTTGTAAAAATCGGCTGTTGTGGAGGGAGACGATTGTATGAATCCAGGTTGGAGTAAGCTTAGTTTCACTGTACTATGCAGAAGGATATATGGCCAAAAGTAGATGTATCGCGACCGGACCTGCTGCTAAGTCCCTGCGGTTTGTTTCCAGCACTTGCCTACAAAACTGCAACGCTGACGTGGCAGCGTGCGAACTCCATGTTTGCTTTGGCGCTCCAGCTGGCGAGGGGCACGTTGAAACACACGACCGAGTGGTAGACCTCGCGGCCGTTGAAGCCGCCAACAAATAAATGCTGGAGTCGATCACAGCCGCGCCGTGGTACGCCCTGCAGTGGTTCATGACCAATTTTATGGATACCTTTAGTTACCCTTGCAGAATAAACGTCTTTCCGCACTCGAATATAGACGTGGCCACGTGCATGTTGCCCACTATTCCATGCCAATTGTACACATTAGTGCCAATCAGCCGATAGTGTCCATATAATTGCTATCGCAATAAAATAAAAAGTCTTCAAGTGGGTAGACGTGTTCATTTACTTCCTAAGCCTTTTTATTGTACTATGACCCCGGCAGGGGGGGGGGGGTTCTGTCGGACTCTACCAGTCGCAAAACTGCAGAGTGCCAGAAAGCTAGGGCACAAGTCACCTGGGAGTGGTGTACTGAGCGCCCATGACGTGCCACTTGTTGGCGCGGCCGTTAAACGTGTGCATGTTGTTCGTAGCACCCGACGTTCATCCACCGAATACGAACAGGATGTCCTTGGGCACGCGGGGCGTGAGCCACTGCTTCAAGGACAGGTCGATGCCGGCGACCTTTCCTAGATAAAGTGAGGGCCGGGTCAGCGTCTGCGTGGACAAAAAAGCACCGTCCGTTGACTGCAGGAAGTGCATACTAAAGCGAACCCCCCTAGCTGCTTTAACTTGTTAGTGTGGGTCGGTGTGGTTAGCCGCTCAACGTTGCTGCTTGCATGATCTCACTGACATCTACGTCGCTCTATCTGGATTTTGGTCATGTGCGACATTCGATATATCATCGGTCTTGAACAGCAGCAGGAACATCTCGTAAATTTCGTGAAACCTTGCACATGTGGTCGTTGCGCAAGATTGCATCAGCTATACGACTGCATCTAACAAGTAACAAAAGGACAGTGCTTTTTTTTCAGATAATTTCAAACAAGCTGCCAAGAGCCGTTTTTTCTCCAAAACAAAGGTTACATTCATTCACTCATTCATTATTCAGAGGTTTGAATGAATCATACAAGCTATGAAAAAAAAAAGAATGGACCAACGTGATGGATGACGTGGAGCACCTTCAGGCTCCTCTCGTCACCCTCGACTTCTGGGTGGGACACGACCTTCTCGAATTCCCTGCAACAATGCATGAGCGATGTTGTAGAGGCTTGAAACGACTTGAGCAGTAGAGGAGTGACGAGCAACTACACAATAATCACATTAATCTGTTTAGTATAAGACATAGGTCGTACTCGCGTGTTCAAGCTAGAATTCCCGGCATGCGATTGAATTCTTTCCCCTCATTTGGCAAGGTTGAGTTTGCGAAAGAGGGTCCCGGATCTATATTTTACGGATCCGCTGGAGGACTGTCATATACCGCTGTTAACAATTTTATTTAATTTGGGACAACGAAAGGATAGGTAATACTGCACAGGCTGGTATGCATGAATGGAGATACACATTCTGGAGATCTACATTCAGTATGTCATGACATTCTTAGTTTGACGACCAAAGGGATACGTCTGGTAACCATCTAATGGCTCGACTAAGTATGAGAGGAACTTCAGCACTTTTGTAATTCTTCGAACGCGTGGCTAACATTCGGTGTGCGTAGGCCCGTCGTGGCCGCCCGTGGAGGCAGCAGTAACTACATAGCCCACGACGACCAAATGAACCAACGGGCGCGAACTTGGGTCTATGGCAGCCGGAACGATTTCTCGCGAACTAACCCTTTCCCGGAAATCTCGACTACCCATCAGCAGCGTTTCCCGATTGTGCCTAAGAAGTGTTTTGAAATCCTGTATACACGCGTGACTTAGGACATCGAGCGTGCCACTCACATAACGCTGCACCGTACGAAGCGAACCAGAGGCCGGAACTTGGCGAGGTACTCCTTCCTCGCGGCTGCGTCGGCCGAGATCCACTTGAGGATGGCCTCGAAGGTCTCTTCCGCCTCGCTCGGCGCGTTCAGCTGGTCGTCTTCTAGAACGGTCTTCATCTCCTCAGCGGTCAGAGCTTCGAACTGCGCGTTGTTCTTCCACACCTGCACCAGGAATGCATATTTGCATGGGTGTGTCACCGTGGAAGCTAAAGAGACAGCGGCTGCCACACGAGAAACAACGTGAGCTACCTTGACGAATGCGTTATTGACGAGCATGGTGCACGCTACTTTGTTGTCCGAACTATATCGTGGTTGAACGGAAGGCCAACTAGAGTCACCAGCTGAAAGGTCACGTCCCGTAGCTCAGACGTCACGCAGGCGCATTCTATTTCTCGGGCGACTCGGGCTCCATGCTGCATTCTAAGCTGTTGATGTACTGTATATTATCCGAAAGTGTAGCACGTTTCGAGTCCTAAGGAAGGAAGGACGAGAACAACAAAAGAGAAGACAGGAAGGTTAAGCAGACATGTAGTCTGTTTGCTACCCTACCCTGTGGGAATGCGAAAGGGCAGTATAAAGATGAGAGAGAGACAGAGGAAAGAGAAGACAAAGAGAAAAGACTGTCAGTCAATGGGCTGACGCGTATGCAGCTGTGGTACTACTCAAAAGGTAAAGGCATTCACATAGGACCGTAGTCCTCAAAGAACGCAAGAGGGCATTGACTGCCTTTCAGGCTGACGAAGGACAAGGACGGTGGTCGAGTAGCATCTGGACAAAGAGTGGCCGATTGTGCAATTGTCACAACGCGTCAGAAAGTTTTTGTCTCCCACAGGCAAATCGAGGGCAACGACATAGCAGATGGTCGATGTCTTTTTCGGTGCCGCAGACCAGTCCTATTGAGTTTTTGAACAACACTTACACTACAATATCTTTCGCTGCCAACTAATTTCTTGAAACTGTCATAAAAGTCAGGCCAGCTGGATAGTAGGATCCATACACTTACATTTTTGCTCTTTTTCGGACAGTATTCATAGAAAGCACGCGCTGCGCTATACGGTCGTTATTTTGTACGCCACTCGGTTTTGGCGAAAACAGACAGAAGGACCTCAAGAGCGAGAGGGAGGGAAAATACTACCTCGTCGAAGCTGCGAACCAGGTAGCCAAAGGCTTCTCCGGTGAGGAATTCGTATCCGTGGCTGGTGGCCAGGTGGTATGTTTCGATACAGTTCCCTGGTTCGAGGTCTTTCTTTACTTTACCCAGGCAGTTATCTCGAATCTGCGTCAACTGCGTTGCAGAAAGAATGTTCTTTTTGTTGGCCTTTTCTTGAGGCTCTTACCCACTGTGGAGGATCGGTCAATAATCGAATGGTCATATAAAAATCTTCTTCACTTTCAGAGTAAAAAAATTGTGGCATGCAAACTTTTTGCTGTTTCCTTCTTCGTTTGCTTCCTAAATATCACGAACACCTACTTACACAGCTTGAGGCGTAGCTTGAAAACATGTTTATTCGGTTACTTCATAATTAATTGAAGCCAAAAAAGCACACATAATGCCGCTATCTTTAGTTGTGTGCTACAATACCGCATCGTTCACTCCCTTTCTCCCTACAATTAATGCGTTTGCTATCTATATATGTAGTTGAGATGCCACCAACTCCAATAATATATTACAACCACATTACTGCGTGCCTAATTTCTTTTGCCAGAGGAGGCGAATGCATTAAACGGCTGTGTCACGTCCGATGTGCTTCACAACAGAAGCCACTGTGATTAACCCAATGCCTAAATGTCTGTCCGAGATTGTAACTGCCTAATCACTAAACGAGTCTTGTAAACTCGCAAACTGAAAGTAATGAATACAGGCTTTATGTATTAAAACCACGACACGATTATGAAGATTGTCGTAGTGGAGGGTTTCAGAAATTTGTACCACCTGGTGTACTTGAACGTGCACTGACATCGCAAAGTTCACTGGTCTCTACCATATCGCGTCTATAGAAATGAGAGTGCCACGCCCAGGAACGAACCCGCGACCTTCGGGACAGCAGCCGAGTGCCCTAGCCACTGATCCACCGAGGCGGTCAAGCTCTAAAGCTTAGTAGCAACAGTCATGTGAATACTATGCAGCTATTTACCATCTAGGCTACTCGCAAGAGGGAGACCAGCGGACCAGCACGTTAGCTATTAACACACATGGTTGCAACAGTCATGTTAAGAATTATGGTTCGTTAAAATGAGCAAGTTACTCTGTCAGTAAACTACCAACAAAACGCATGGGCTATGTGGCTGGTAGTAGCAAGACTCCGGTGGCCCCGGTACGGGCCAGTGGCCTCCCGATCAGTGTAGGCACCAACCAAGGTAAATAAAAATTACCATTTGCAGTAAAAGTACTGCAAATGTCGTCGAAACGATAGTCTTGCATCCAGGGAGGGTGAACAAAACATTTAGTTGATGTTCTGAGCAAAAAAAAATCAGTAAATGGTATTATGGAGTCGTTGCGTTAGAGTGCCTCGAGTGTACAGAGGAGGTGAACGAGCGCATCAAGTCACATCCCACGTGAGACATGAGTGCTATCTGGAGGTTATCTTCGAAAACGAAGCGCACGGCGTGCGCGCCCGTCTCGGAGGTGATAAGTTGTAGCACGCAAGGCAACGGGTAGGTGTAACCACCGTGTCACCTTAGCAGAGCATTGGAAACACTTGCCTTTTCGTGCAAGCGTTGCATGGTCAGCACAGCGTGATAAGCGCTACCATCCTTAGAATTACTTATGTATGCCTTTTCTAGCAAAGATACACACATACAGAATATTGACGTGTTGTTATGGTGCCTCAGATATGCGAAACAATTGCTCTTTAACTGACAATTGCACAAGTATGAATGCTAAATCTTGAGCAATATTGGGTGGCACTGCGGAAGGGGTTGGCCGTTTGAGATATTGTTTGGTGTCGTTTGAGGTATTGTTATGGGCGTACAAACAGACAATTGTACAGACAGACAGACAGACAGACAGACAGACAGACAGACAGACAGACAGACAGACAGACAGACAGACAGACAGACAGACAGACAGACAGACAGTCAGACAGACAGACAGACAGACAGACAGACCAAAACTTTTTCGTCGAAAGTCGCCAAGAAAGACTATTGTCTTTAACTATATACATGGGAGCGTTATTCCCAAAGCTTCATTGTGAACAATCCTCTTGTTTGGGAGTCTTGGTCGCACTCGTTGTTTTAGGCAACGAATGGGCTTCAAGAAACCCATTATCTAGCTCCCGCACAGCCTCCCACTGACCTTCAGTTTCTCGGTGAGCTTGAGAACCTTGACGATATTGTGCATGCCGATGCGTTCGTGCAGCGGTATCTGGTAGGCATTCTCGACCAGCAGCTCGATCATGCCGCTTTCAAGGTCCTTGATCACTGCTCGGACGGGTGGGCAACCCACCTCTTTCCTTTTCTCTGGAGCCATGCTCTCTTTCGCAATAGTGAATAGGGTGTAGCAACCGGAATATCTGCAAGAAAACAAAGAATCGAAAGTGAAAGATAAAGTCCTTCCTAATACAATGTCAGTCTCAATAAATTGTGTACAACGCCAGAAAAAGCTAGATATTTACGCGATTCTCGCATGCAGCATCGAATTTAGATTACTCGCCTGCCATCAAATGCGTTAGCGACCTCTTTTGCCGTTTGACCGATAGGCACGCATTCCTGCAAAAATTTTGACGTCGATTGTATATATCCCGACAAAAGCGCATTGTTGAGACCTCGTAATGCCGTAACCGAAACTATCTGTCCGATATTTTCACACACTCTCAGCCGGAACGATCAACCAGCAAAGAAGCACGGGAACTTTGAGCAAGCAAGCTTTATTAATATCGGCTTGCACGTGCTCCAATGGTAGTTCGAGCTCGTCATATTAAAAGCGAGAATGGCGGTAAGAACACTTCATAAACTTTAAAGTATAGAATTGCTCAAAATTCTTGGCTTGCATGTACACAGAGGTAGATCGACGGCCACGTGCCTCAATCCGGACGAAGCCGTCCCACAGACGACTTGGTAAGGCGACGGCTAGTAAGCAAACTACCAGAGATAGTGACTGAAGTATTCCGAGACCGAATGTCCAACGAACCCAAGTTGCGTGCTAAGGCAGCGACCATGAGTGATGAAAGGTATCGCAATTAACGGTACTTACTTGGCGGACATCACAAAGCGATGCGCCCAAACTTCCACGGTGTAGTTGGCGCGGAAAACGACGTCACAGCACTGGCGCGTTTTCCGCTGTTCCCGCAATCCAGGCATGGCCCTGGCTGCGGCGGCTGGCGAGAACTCCCGCTGTCGGCCATCGTCGATGAAGAGCTGCGCCGCCTCGAACGACGTGGTGACCATGCCGTCGTTCTTGTCCGCGCCGTTGGCGGCGCGATCTTTCACCTCGGCTACGGTGGCACACATCTCTGGAAAGGTCCACAAAGGAATCAACCGACGGCAAGCTGGTTTAGGCCGACCAGGAGGAGCCCACGGACAGCCGTCGCTTTTCGGGCACTGGGACCGAAACAGCAAGGCACAGCCTAACGACGGGATGACTGAGCTGCGGCCCGGGCTTGGCGTGTTTATATAGCCCGCAGAATCGGTTTACTCGCTTGTTGCGCGCGCTGCGTGGCACGTATACCTGACCGTTAATTGTTTGTTTGTTTGTTGTTGCTTGTAAGCACTGGCCCATACCCACTTTGGGAAATTGGCCATGAAAGCTTGTAGTAGCCTATATGTGAAACACTAATTAGAACCTATTATTGAAAGGGCAAAGAAAAAGAAAGAAAAGCAAATTACCTTTCAAAAAAGAAAATAATAAAAAAGATGATCAATAAGAGAAACATAGAGCTAATATTATATTAGGAGACTTAAATTTCGAATAGACCAGACAGTTGAGTTTACCTTACTCGATCAAATACAAATGAATGTGCGACTTTCATTCACATTATCAATCATATGAAGAATTCTTCAAGAATATGTTTAAGCAGGTGTTATATTGACATGCGTTTAGATTCTTGAAAAAAATTGCGTACCGCATATATTACGTCTCTGTGGCAATGTCCCAAGCAGCTGAAGGTTCCGAAACTGAGAACATTATCTGCAGTTAAATTTAAACCTACTGTGTAAAACGAAACAATTAGAAGTCATTTCCTAATTGATGAATAGTTCCAACATGATATAAAGTAATGCTCTACTTGTTCTGTTTCTTCGCAGAATGGGTGCAAGGTAGATATCGCCAGACCAGCTCTGTGTAAATAAAAGTTTATTGGGGCGACACGACTTATAACTTCCTAGATTGACTCCAATGAGGTTTCCAGGGATATCTCAGGTTCCGATACTCCGTACATTTAGTGATATTTTCCATGATATCTGTATAAATAGCTAATTTTCTATATCTGATCGACACTATGTATTCTATTTCTGGGAGTACCGAAATCAGAGGACAATCAAGCGATGCTCGGGCTAATGAATCAACCATTTCATTCAACTGCATGCCAATGTGGCCTGGGCAAAAGTTTCAGTTGGGGCGGAACTAATGTGCGCAGTGTCACTAGGGCTCTTGATTGTTTTGTAGCTGTGAGAGCAGAACACACCGAAAAAGAATCTGTAATGATGATTGCACTGTCTTTCTTTCATTGTAGCTTTCGGAGTGCCAAATAAATAGCCAAGAGCACAGCTTCGAAAACTGGAGTGAACTCTGACAGTCTTACATAGAAAGACCAACCGAGGTAATCAGAGGCAATTCCTACTGCTGCCTTTTCATTATTCACGGAGGCGTCTGTGGCTATTATGCTCTTCATATCTCCATGAACTATGTATACTTCTAGCCTGTAATTGAAAAAAAAACTGCTGCTTTTTCTATCGTATTTTTTTGTTTTCGATGCCGAAACTTTATTGTCATAAAGCCTGATTATGATGTCAGGCCCATGGCCTGATAGCCTGATTGGTCTGAAGAACGTTTCGTTTTGCGAAAACATTTCTTGTTGATCCTAATAAGGTTCGCGTCATCCTGTTCAAAACGGCTTAAGAAGTCTGTTAGTGAACTTCAACCAAGAGAGCAACAGTTGCTTGTTTGAAGTTTTAAGAGAAGACGCTGCAGTTCCTCGCCATACCCGTGAGTGGGTATGAGCCATGTTAGAGGTCTTGCCCAAATTATCATCACCATAATCATTATTGTCACCATTTCACAGTGGCTTGGGTCTGTAAATTATGGATGCCCATAACTATATTTACAGGTACTGACTGTTTTAGCTGCCTGAGTTGAGAAATCCAACTGCCGTGTTGGTGGCTGGCTGGTCCCGACGAAGCAGAAGAAGAAGACGGCCGACGGAGACGTACGCGGCCGGCGGGGACGCCGACCAGCCTGAACACGCGGGTTGGCGCAAAGCGCCGAAGAGAAGAACAACAACCGCACTCCACGGTTACCCAACACACACTGATTTTATTTACAGTCGCCTTGAAATCCTGGATGCCAGAGCGGCGCCCCTTGGCATCCTCACATGTCCTTCCGAAACCGAAACCTAGAACACAACGTCATCTCTTCCTCGAGAGAAGTACACCTATACACTGTTTATAGTTATACATGATCGATGTACGTTAGAACACATGAAAATTCAGAGCACGACACACCGAACTCACACACTACGAGTCCTTAAAATGCACTGACAAAAAAAATGTACACAACTGTTCAGAACAAGAGTTCTACATCACGTAGTCTTCGAACCGACGCGGCTTCTGCCGCTTCCGCTTAGGGCGGGCCCTTTTGGGTGTAGAATCAGGTGTCTCTGCACCTTGTTCACTTGTGCACTGATGTGACACATCAAGAGCAGTAGAAGATTGTGAAGGCTCTGAACGAGCGTTGAAATTCGCGGTCTCATCAGAGCTCGCAGCATGAGCTTCGGAAGAATTTTGCGGATCGGAGTCCGGTTCAATGGTCTCAGCCGAATTTGAAGGTTTGAAGTGAATCGTAAGACTTGGTGTACTTGAACCAGCGACACCGACTGGTAACTCCTCCCCCCTTGAAGAAGAAATGCCTGTGCATGGAGGTCACATGTAACAGTCTGATGCATAGTCAACGGCGTGGATGCAACGTTATGGGGAAGACTTTTAGGTGTTGAAGGCGAATCCGTATGAAAAATAACAAGGCGCGAAGCATTCCAGATGTTACCATCACTTAAACGAAAAGAAGTGGGGCTAACCTGGCCCAAGACTTTGTAAGGACCCCGATACTTGGGGCACTTGCCTGGCACACGTACCTTGACTAGATCGCCAGTGCGAATTTTGGACTGCTTTGCACCTCGACGGGTGTCGACATACTTTTTCATTGCTTGTTGATGACAAAAAACCCTGGTACGGATTTGATCAGGAGAAGACACTGCTATGTTACGAGGCAAAGAGACTATCTCGAGAGCAACTCGCGGTTGCCTACCGTGGAGAAGTTGAGCAGGAGACTTTCCAGTGGTGCTTTGTGGTGTGGACCTGTACGAAGCTAAACATTCAGTCAAGACTTGCTTGAGGGGACGGTGCTCTAATTGGGCGATCTGGATATGTTCCTTCAGAACGCGATTAAAGCGCTCGATTTGCCCATTTGATTGGGGATAAAAAACTGATGACTTCAAGTGCTGAATTCCTCGTTGTGAAAGAAAAGCCTCGAGAAGTTGGGACTGAAACTGTGGACCATTGTCCGTAACTATGGCATCAGGAAAACCTTCCCGGCTGAAGATTGAAGACAGAAACTCAATGATGACCTCAGAAGTAACCGTATGTGTGAAACAAAGCTCTGGCCAATTGGAATGGTAGTCGATGAGGGAAACAATGAACCGGGCATTTTGCGGAACATTATGCAAAGGACCGATGATGTCCATGCCGAGTTTCTGCCAAGGCCGATCAGGCCACTGGACTGGCTGCAACGGAGAAAATGCAGGTTTGGCAGACTTGTCAGCTGCTTGACATATATGGCAGTTGTAAACTGCATGCTCGACCTGCTTGTGTAAAGCTGGCCCCCAGTACCTGTCTCGGATATTCTGTTTGGTGCGGACAATGCCTGGATGGGCCTCATGGGCAAGCTGTATTAGCTTGTTATGGAAAGAAGCAGGGGGAATCACGCGTTCATCGCGGAAAAGCAAGTCCTCGGCACACGACAGTTCCTGTCGGACTGCGAAGTAAGGCAAGAATTCAGAAGCAAGAGCACATTTGGAAGGCCATCCTTCACGTAAATATTTGAGAACTTGAGACAAAGTGGAATCTGCAGCTGTAGCTGCCTGAAGCTCAGATTTAGTAATGCAGGAAGTAACTAATGAAACAACTTCCTCATCCCGCTATTCAGTAACCGGTATCTGAAGAGGAAGGTGCGACAGTGCATGAGCAACCATGTTATTAGAACCTTTGCAATATTGAACACTGAAATTATAATACATGAGTTTGGCACACCAACGGGAAATGCGAATGGGGCGGCGGCCTTCGGATCCTGCAGAAAGAAGAGCAACTAGTGCTTGGTGATCTGTACGTAATGTGAAGTGCCGGCCCCACAAGTAAACATACCATTTCTCACAGGCAAAAAGACACGCGAGAGCTTCATGCTCTCCTACTGAATATCTGCGTTCAGCAGGGGTCAATGTACGATATGCAAAAGCGATAGTGATCAGCTGATTACCTCTGAGTTGTTGAAACACTGCTCGCAGTCCAACATCGGACGCATCCGTCGTGATGACAATGGGAAGCTTCTCATTGAAAATACTAACAGCTGGCTTTGAGGCCAGTATTAACTTAACTCGAATGAAGCTCTGCTCAGCTTCAGCTGACCAGTTAAAAGGCTGTGCTTGACGAAGTAGAGTACGCAGTGGTTCAACATCATCAGCATAGTGAGGAACAAACTTGGCATAATAACAAACAAGACCTAAAAAAGATTGCAAGGCTTTGGCATCAGTAGGCCGTGGGGCATTGACAATGGCCTGAACTTTAGATTCAACAGGTGTCGAGCCGCGGGAACTGACATTACGTCCTAGAAATTGTAACTCATTCACAGAAAAAATGCACTTGTTATTAAGTTTCATACCACATTCACTGATGCGGTTGAGAACAGTATGCAAGTTAGCATCGTGCTCTTCGCGAGTACGTCCCCACACCAAAATGTCATCCAAGTAACAGAGGGCGCCATTACAACCCTTAAGAGTACTTGACATCATTTTCTGAAAGACTGCAGGGGCAGATGCAAGCCCGAAACACACGCGGCGAAACCGAAACAAGCCTTCGTGCGATACAAATGTGGTTACGTCTCTACTTCACTCAGAAAGTTCAACTTGGTGATAAGCGGACGCGAGGTCCAGCTTGGAGAAAGATACCGCTCCGGAGAGCTGATGAAGCAGTTCTTCAATGTGAGGAAGTGGAAACGCGTCTACGACGATCGCCTTGTTCGGTTCTCG